GCATCGCCGGGCAGGCGGCGCGGCGGCGGGCGGCGCCTACTGGGTGGACTCGCAGCAGAAGCGGGTAGGAGCGCGCAGGGACCCCGGGCGGGTGGGGGGAAGCCACCGACTTGTCCGCGCCTGCCTAATCCCGTTTGTCCACCGCCACCGTTTGCAGTATGTTCCGGTCAAGGGCGACCACGTCATAGGAATAGTGACGGCCAAAGCTGGGGACGTGTTTAAGCTGGACGTGGGTGGGAGCGAGCAGGCCTCTCTTTCCTACTTGGCCTTTGAAGGCGCCACGAAGCGGAACAGGCCGAACGTGCAGGTTGGTGCTCTTGGTCGTTGGCGGTGACGCTTTAGTGGTGTCGTTTGGTGGTGCTTGTTACGTTCTAGTAGTTTTTATTACTAAAAGCATTTTTATAAGTCGCATGTAAAAGTGCAGGTTTATTTGCAGTGATTTCGCCTTGGCCCTCCTCGGAGGCTTTTGTACGGTTAGGCTGTGGGCTTCCTGAGGTTTCCTAAGAGAACGCGTAACTCAGTGTGGTTTGGTATCTGTCAGATGGTAGCTTTTCTCATTCTTCACACTTTTAACTTTCCCATAATACTGCCAGCAGACGATGCAATTCATGAGTAATGTGCATCTAAGGGGGCATTCTGAAGTTAAGGTTTTAAAACAAGTTTTTTCACCATTTGGTAGGAAAGGATCTTTTAATAGCACTGTTATAAAGAGTTGCATGGCATGTGTGTGCCACAGCTTCTGTATGTTCAACTGAAATACCATCACCAGACAGTAAAGAAAAACAGTAGATTAGTGCGACTTTTCTGGTGGTTGCCCTGATAAATGATTACAAGAGTAGGTTACTTGGGCTTTTAATACCTTTAAAGTCTGAAGAGGAATTCATGTTTGGTTTTTAAAAAAGAGGAATACTCCATGAAGTAAAATTCTGATTTTTTTTTTTATATCTTTCAAATCCTAGTAATGATAGAAGATAATTGTTCCTATAGAATGTTGCCTTTAGTAAAAGAAGAAAAAATGTAAATTCCTATTGTACCAGTCTCTTTTTCTATCACCAGTATTTTAAAAGTACTTTGTGGCCTCATGAGAGGATCTTTATCAACTGAGTATTTATTACGGATATGCAGTATGATCTTCTCTATTACTTTTGCTTTTTGATATTATTTATTTAGGTGGGAGATCTTGTTTATGGTCAGTTCCTTGTAGCAAATAAAGATATGGAACCAGAGATGGTCTGTATAGACAGCAGTGGAAGATCAAGTGGAATGGGAATAATTGGACAAGATGGCTTCCTCTTTAAAGTTTCCTTAGGTCTAATAAGAAAGTAAGTACTAAGAAAAGTAAGTAGTCACTCTAACATGTAACACGGTGGGTAGGATTTGCACAACTGTTTCCTCTGAGCACTGTGAACAGTTTGGTAATCAGAATGTGTAATTCTTTTACTGCATTTAAACCGGTATTACTGGCTAGAGTATTGGCCCAGAAGGAGCCTTTATTTTTCCCCTTAAAAGATTTAGGTGCTCTTCAATATGGTGTTGTGTGACCTGTTTAAAAAAAGTGATGTGGTTGCCACAGAATTATGGAAAATAAAATTACTGACCTGGGGAAATCAAGCATTCAAGCTAGGGTTTTGGTACTACCTTGGAGTTTAAAAATTGAAAATGCTTACTGTCCTTTTTCTGTTTAATGGAATAGTGGGGGATGTACCTTTGACTGATAGCTGTTTAAAGGGGTTTTCCCACATCAGTACGCATTATTTTCTGGCTTCCAAGAAAAATAAATTGCATTGAAATAAGGATACAGATATTGAATTTGTGGGATTTTCATTTTAAAGTGACAAACTTTAGAATTACTTATGCTGATGTAAATACAATATCTTTCTGTCTATCAAAGAATACCAGAATATATAGATAAATGAGAGTCAAGGTTTGTTGTTGCTTTTGGGTGGGGGCTTTTTGTTTGGTTTTTGTTGTTCTTTGAAAAGGCAATCTGGAGATGCAGAGCAGCTGTTTCATACCTGTTCTGTTTAAATGATGATTTGTCTGGTTAACATATCGCATCGGAATTCAGCGTGAACCGATACAAATATTTTTGCTGCTGCTCTGCTTCTTTTCCAAATTTTGCCTGGATGTAAGTAAAGAAAGAACAATATATTACAGGTAAACTGCTAAATCCTGATATGTTTCTTCGTTCTTCAGTAAAGTCTGCTGAAGCTTGATTTAATCCTAGATTTATTGCAATATTTTTGACACTTTTATTTTTTTTGGTATGATGTCACCTAATAAAACCTAATAAAATTATTCATTTACTGCTCTTAATACTGTTTCCTGAAGGAAAAGGGAAGTCGTGTTTTGAAAGACACAGTATTAACTCTGGCAGCAAATTTATTAATAGCAGCGCTTAAAAATACCACTTATCAAACAGTGTAGTTTTAGAATTTATTAAATCATAGAATTGTTATAAAAATATCAATTAACTTTACATTTGTCAGGTATTACTTGTGAATTTAGCTGTTTTTTTCTAACTAGATTCACAAGTGCTTTTTTTTTTTTTTTAGTGCGTGTATAGATATATATATATATACACATATATATAAAAAGAGGAGAATTAAAAATCTGATACTGTATTTCTGTTTTGGATGCATATGCAACTTGATCATCTTACCTTTTTGGTGTTGCTTTAATAGCTTTTATAACACCAGTACTGTGGTTTATTTATTGATTGATAATAATGTGGTGTCTGTCAAACGTGAGCATTTCTTCCTCTGACTTTTTTTAATCTTGTTTACAGACTCTTGGCTCCCAAATGTGAAATAATCCAGGAATTGTCACATTTGTACCCGTTTGAGCTGGTGCTGGGAATGAATGGAAGAATATGGGTAAAAGCAAAAACAGTTCAACAGACTTTAATTATAGTAAATATTTTGGAAGCCTGTGAGTATATGACTGCAGAACAGAGAAAACAAGTGCTTGACAGATTGTCAGGGAATTGATAAGAGAAAACCTTGAGGATTTGTTTGAGATGACTGTAGGGTGTTCTGGTTATTTTTGTATTCAGGTTTATATTAAAAGACTTTTTTTAAATGAAGTACTAGACTTTTGTAGTTGTTACTCAGTTCCCTTCTTTATCCACGCAGCTTGTTTTTGTCATCTTTAGGATCTTTTACTTGCTTTTGCAGTTACAAAACCCTGTTTATGATTTTTCTGACTGATCTGGAGAGTCTTTAAAAGCTGCCATTAGCTGTGAGTTTTGAGGCATAACTATTTAACTGGTCCATTTGTAAACTGCATATATTTGCTCTTTTAGTCATTACTAATATTAGAGGTTCAGACATTAGATGTTTACTTGGGGTAGTGGAAAGTATACTGCATGTCATTTATTCTGATCAGGTGCTCTACTTACACAGTGACAAGAAGTGATGATTTAATATTTTACAAAATTTTGGAATAGAAACGCAGGTGGAGAATACCATAAAATAATTATAGGGTGTAGCATAAAATAATCATAGGGTAGTTAAGGCTAAGATCAGCTAAGACTCAACATATGATCACACCGACCCTACCACTTTCCTTAAAAGATAACCTGGGTAGTAGTAGTAAGGAAGTGGTGATTAGGACATAACCTCAGTATGAACATTCAGGAAGCTTGATGGCTCACTGGATGTAAAAATATACTAACAGCAATGCTATTTGAAGTTGCTTGTAACTTTTTCGTAAGTGCTTTCTAACTAGCAATTAGTAAACACCACTGCAGCAATAGACACTTAGTTCTCAATTTTAGGCATTTTAGATTTATTTTCTTTAGTTACAGCATGAAGATTCTCTCTAGGTTTGCTTCATGTTTAACAGAATCAGCATTTGTGAAAAATGCTATATTAGGTTTCATTATGTAGTAGTGCATCACGTGGATATAGAGGCAATGCTGTCCTAGAAAGGATAAGCTGTCAGTATGTGAGTAGCTCTTTTGAAAGAGAACCATAGAGTAATGGAAGAGGAATTACTGATGCCTGGTTCCTGTGGGAGAGTGCAAACAAAATTCTTCCTATTTCATCCAAAGTTCAGCCTGTGGTACTTGATTATATGGTTTTCTGTGGCATCTCTTGTTTGGAAATGGCTTCAATTCAGAGCCACTCCTATGAGTCATTTTTAATATGCTTACCTAGAGCTTCCCCTAATTTGGTAAAAACACAACTCAGTGGTTTCCATGTGAGTCTCTTGGCTACAATTCACATTTCTCCCTGGGTTTCGCTGTCTTCCCTATTTAGCATTTAGGGTATTGCTCATCTGGCTTTGTAAAACTTCAGTCATATTTTTTCACCTGTCTTGTCCCAGCTGAAGTGACTTTCATTCACGTCCCATAAATCTTTTAGGCCTATAATCTATCTCTTACTACATATGAAAAGCTGTAATTTAATAATGATTTCACTAACTATGCTCTTCTCCAGTGGTTTTTTTTTTTTTAATTTTAGCTAACCAGAGCCCATGCAGGTTGTCTGTTACTAGAACAATAGCTGGTATAAGCAGAAAAGCACTTGCCAAATCATCTCGGGGTGCTAACTTTGTTTTCTGTTAATGTTCTTGGATCGTAATAGTAAAACCACAGGAATGGGGAATGACATGGATCATTTCCTGAAGAGTTGTGGCTTGAAATGCAATTACCACTCCCCTTTATACTTATCTAAGCAACTTCCCTTCCCTCCCAGAAGGCTGAGGTTTAAGCCTAAACTGCAAGATACATGAAAAATTCCCTGGTTTAAAAATGCTGTTTTGGTAGTGCAGCATAGCAAATGGTGACCTTGAAAGTTTTCAACATCATTAGTGCCCTGTTTCACACCACCCATTATTCTGTCCCACTGTCAACTCCTTATCACCCAAATATAACCTTAGTTAAAACAAGAACATTAAAATTATGCTTGTTTTTAATTTAGCAAAATGGTGTATCCACAAAGTACTTGAGTTTTACAATCTATGCAATCATTTAGATCATTAGAGCGTGCTACACATAAGTTTGACAAATCATACAGTGGCAAAAATGACAGTTGGATGTGAGCAAAATGGGTGTGGGGAAAAAATGCTTGAAAGCAAATACATTTAAACACATTACTAAAGAAAGCAATATCAGAGTGTTGGGCTTTTTTTTTTTTTTAATTTGAGGAAAGAAAAACTATATTCCTTAAACTGATACTGGCTTTAACAAGCTTTATCTAATGAACAAAATATTCAGGCAAAATCTGTATGATGTTTTTGTGAACTATTAGTTCTGGCTCAGGTGTCTAAACTGGGGTCACCAAAAAGAGTGGTTCTAGGAAGAAATACTAATCATGAGTTATGTATTCTGCTAGAAATGTTACAGGAAGCCCTTCACATTCCCATTAAAGGATGTGATGGTTTGACCTTGGCTAAAGGCCAGGCATCCACCAAGTCGCTCTATCACTTCCCCGCCCCCCTTCCCCTTGTTTCTAAACAGGGCAAAGAGGGGAAAGAAAAGCAGATAAACCAACCCTCATAGGTAAAACAAAAGCAGTTTTAATATAAGCAAAACGAAGCAAAGGTCCACGCGCGGAAGCAAAAGCAAACAGATTTATTCTCTACTTCCCGTGGACAGGTGATGTCGGACCTTCTCAGGAAGAAGGGCTCCGATACACATAGTGGTTGCCTCAGAGGACCAAGGTGACCCCACCCCCTTCCTCCTTTCTCCCAACTTTATACTGAGCAGATGTCATATGGTCTGGAATATCCCTTTGGTTGGTTCAGGTCAGCTGTCCTGGTTGTGTCCCCTCCCAAGATCTTGCCCACCCTGTCCCACTGGGGGAAATGTAGGAAAAAGCCTTGGGGTTGTGTAAGCACTGCTCAGCAGTAGCCACCACACCACGGTGCTATCAACATCCTGCCAGCTCCCAACATAAAACACAGCACCGTGAAGGCTGCTATAGGGGAAAACCAATTCCAGCTCAGCCAGACCCAGTACAAAGGCACATAAATGTATATATTTCAGGCAATGGAACTTGCAGAAATGATGCTGTGGACTTGAAATGTACCTTGGTTAGAATGTCTTTCTGTTGTATTTATATGCATGATGTATGCTCCTGTTTAAGTCATTAGTTACTTATTTCAGATACTCGGTGATTGTGCGCTGGGTGCTTTGTAACTTTGCTTTTCTTTCATGTTGTTGTGATGAAAACTAAGAAGTAAAAATTGTAGATGTCAACATTGACACAGTCTATATCCCCAGAGATGAGCACAGCCCCTTATAAAGAAAGTTCACAAAGAATTAAATGGAAGCCATTGAAAATATGAAATACATAGTTTGTGGCTCTTCCTAAGTTGATGTGTTGTATAAAGATGTGATGGTTTGACTGGCTAAATGCCAGGTATCCACCAAGTCGCTCTATCACTTCCCCCCCCCCTTTTCCCCTTGTTTTCTCAATAGGGTAAAGAGGGGAAAGAAGATAAACTAACCCTTGTGGGTGAAACAAAAGCAGTTTTAATATAAGCAAGGCAAAGCAAAAGTCCGCGCGCGGAAGCAAAAGCAAACAGATTTAGTCTCTACTTCCCATGGACAGGCGATGTCGGGCCTTCTCAGGAAGCAGGGCTCCCATACACGTAGTGGTTGCTTCGGAGGACCAAGGGTGACCCCACCCCCTTCCTCCTTTCTCCCAGCTTTATACTGAGCAAACGTCATATGGTATGGAATATCCCTTTGGTCGATTTGGGTCAGCTGTCCTGGCTGTGTCCCCTCCCAAGATCTTGCCCACCCCGTCCCCCTGGGGGAAATATCAGAAAGAGCCTTGGTGCTGTGTAAGCACTGCTCAGCAGTAGCCACCACACCAGGGTGCTATCAACACCCTGCCAGCTCCTGACATAAAACCATGAGGGCTGCTGTAGGGGAAAACCAATTCCAGTTCAGCCAGACCCAGTACAAAAGACCAAGAACAAATGCTCACAGAAAGTACAGATACGCAGCGCTGAAATTAAGTGTGATAGTAAAACAGTTGTATTTTGCTCTAGTAGAAGACAGGCAAAAAGTTCAGTGTAATAGGATTAAGAGCTTAACTCTAAGGCTATGGTTAAAGTGTGGCTGTAGCTCTGCTAGGTTAGAAATTTACTGTGCTCAATTACTCATTACCACCTTACCACCAGAAGGTGCAACTAAGGTTTGCTGGCATGTATATTTGATTCTTAGCCAAGTTCTGTCAAAATGACCCGAATTGGTATCAACACTTTTAATAGCAGGGTTATATTATTTTTCTAACCTGGAAGTTCTTTTAGCAGAAGAAGTTATGGAAATTTTCTCTCAGATTTTAAATATGAAGAGCAGCTCATCTACTACTGGAGAAGCTCAGATGCATTAGAGAAGGCCTAGTTTTCTTCCTTAGTACTTGACCAAATAATTTTGAATAACAACTAAATCAACCTTAAATCAACAGGTTATTTTAAACCTTACCTCCAAGCTTTACAGACATATAAAAAAATAGACCAGTTTTTCTAGCTACATATAACCAATATGGTGAGGTATATTTGATTGAGTATAGAAACTAGCTGTCTTAAGGGCAATGTAGGACACAGCCTGGTCCTTACTAATGACTTGTATAGACTGTGAGATGTGTAACTATTACCGCAGTCTATAGTAAGGAATTAAACATGCCAGTTTTGCCTCAACAACTTGAAAGAGAAGTAGCCTAGGAACATGCTGGGTGACTGGGTTTTAATAGAAGGTATGAAGTAGTTGTGGGTGGTTAACCAGGAGCACTGCATAATGACTGTTTTCCTCTGATGTGCTGATTTCAACAAAGTGCAGTTGCTGCCTTCTCGATGCTACCAATATGGGTATTTTGGGATGTTCAAGAGCCTGTGTTTGCTTATAGAGCCTGGATTGTGATCACTGTTCTAGTGGCTTGAATAGTCATTAGAAATAACACTTTTCACTAGGTCTCAGTGTCCTACCTAGTATGAGAAAAACTAAAAAATTGGAATAGAATAACAGTATAGCTAGTAGCACTCAGTAAATGGGACAAAGAAAAATTACAGGCCATTTAGACTAGATATTAGGAAGCATTTCTTTACAGAATGAGTTGTTAGGCGTTTGAA